CGTTTGTTGTGTTCCTGTGGCTCCCGAACCAATGCGGACGGCAAGTCGTTTGCTTCTCGCGCAGGGGACGCGGTGACGTCATAAAGATGCCGAGCTCTGATTGGCTCTGAATGAAGGATAGTGGATAGACCTCAAAGCAAGCTGCCTTGAGCTCTAACCACTATCGTTCAATCAGATCTCCTTTCAGAGCTCGGCATCTTTATGGCGTCACCGCGACCCCTGCGCGAGAAGCAAACGAGCTTGATCTCCGCATAAGAATGCGAATAACGCAAAAAGGCCAATGGCGGCCATCTTGGCTTCTATGGATGCGCTAGCACGATGGATGTAATGGCACGCTAGGTGTCGTAACATAGGATGAGCAATTACATCCATCGAGTAACTACGTCCGTCGAACAACTATATTCAACGAGCAACTACATCCATCGAGCAGCTACATCCATACACATGTCAACACATACAACGAGATGGTATATCCACCGTGCCATTACATCCATCGATGGATATAATGGCTCGGTGGATGTACTGGCTCGATGGATGTGTTCACACGTAATCGGACAGGAGGAGGGTGTGCTATGTACGCGATGGTCGATTGTCTTCCGGGAGAGCGGAGCTAGGTTGTGTTGGTAAGGGGGGGGGGGGGGGGGGGGGGGGGGGCGGGGCTTTGTTGAATTGTCAAAATCGTTTGATTATTGTAGTGGAAAGAGATGAGTTCTTTGTTATCTTTTGGCTTCGGAGGTCGCGAAGGTTCTGTGGTGAAGATTGTGGAGTGCATATAAGAGGGTGACCGAATAAACTTGTCTTTAGCTGTGTTAAAGGAGGACCAGCAGAAATATTCTTCTGCCTGGCGGAAAGTCCTCCTCGCCCTCTTTCTTCTTGCATTGTAGCACGGCGAGGCGAGGGGAAAGGTCTCCTTTTGCGCCGGCTTCTTCTGAGAGGATAAGCCGAGAAAATCCCCATTCTGAGTGACGGGCGATCGGTGCGGCAGCAGCGACCTCGTGACTTAGAGGTAGCTTCAGCTCCTATCGCGTAATCTGTCCCATTTTTTGGCGCTCACCAAGCCTAGCCCCTCGGGTGTAGGTTTTACGGAGCTGCAAGGCTGCGCCCGCGCAGTCACCGAATTTCCGCTGTCGAAGGTCTTTAGTTTAGCCCGTGGCAAAGTAAACGCATACTTGAGAGCTGCGATGCATCCCCGCACCCATTGAAGGAACGTTTCATATATATTTTCGGTTGATCAAGGAGCTCAGAACACATGCGCGAGAAGTGGTGACTTGAATATGTAAGGATGACTCACATCTTCACAAAACGTTCCATCTTGAAAAAAACGGCTTATCACGCTCAAACCTGCCTCAAATTGGGATCGATGGAGAAGAGAACGATGTACCAGGCGCGGGCATCTTCTAGAAGGTCTCTGTTTTCTAGCAGCGAGCACAAACATTGTGTGCGTAACTCACACTATATGATGGCTAACGAATGTATGTGACATTTATATTTACGCATCCCAGCAACCACATGAGGTGAGAAGGCAGCTATGATGTGTGTCGATACTAAAAAGTTCTAGTGGATCGTCTTTAGCTCTTGGATAACCGCACCCTACAACAATTTATAAGCTATAACCTTTCTGTGAGCATTCTTGATCGAGTGCGGCTATCGAAGCGTCTGATGTTATAGTTCAACGTTGCTTAAATCGGCGCTATAGCACGTGCTGCCACTTTAAAGTATTTCTGAGGCATTAAAAATAAAAAAAATAAAAAAATCAACTGTAGCCTTTTTTTAACATAATACGCGTTTGTAATTTGTCTGTGCAAACACATTTTAGTTAGCACGGACAAACTATTGCCGGTCTTTCTGATTTTGTTTTTTAGGAATAAATGATATTTAGAAAACTGTCAATGCAACTATCCAACCTAAGTGTCAGAGCTCAGTGCTAGACAATACATGTTGCTGGGCAGAAATAGTAAAAAGCGCCGATGTCGCGTTCGGGCTAAAAGTGCCACGTAATGCACGCGTACTGCTACAAGTGCGTCCGGACATTTCACCGAACGCCGTTTCATCGAATGCCGTTTCATCGAATGCCGTTTCATCGAAGCCGTTTCATCGAACGCCGTTTCATAGAAGCCGTTTCATCGAACGCCTTTTCATCGAACAATGTTACAGTCTGTAATACTTTGGAATTTACTTTAATTTTTATGCACAACTTCATCTCATTCTCTCTTTTTTTTTCTTTTGTTTCTGCTTTTATATCACTGGGTGCAGTGGCGAGATAAGTTCCATCGTGAACATATCCTGCTTCGAGAAGAAAGCGTCCATGAAACAATGACCCCTCTCCATGTCACATGAAACAATTAAAAATGAGGCAAAAACAGAAAGCACAGACGCTTAAAAGTGTTTTAAGTGTCTGTCCTTTATTTGCAGCGTCGTGGTTTCAGCCATGTATGTACATGAGTAAGGCTTTTCAGTAAGTCGCATACCCAATTGTTTTTATTTCTTTTTATGCCAATTGCTTTTATTTTTAGTAATTTGACACCACCTTCAAAACAATTTCTCAAGTGACTACCTTAGTCTTAACAAATGCAAGGTGAAACATCTATAAAGCACTGTTATGCCCCAAAACTCGGTACAGAGCCATAACTGAGAAATTCGATGAAACGGCCCTTGGCGATTCGATAAAACGGCGTTCGATGAAACGGCGTTCGATGAAGTGTCCGTTCATTCGGTGAAACGGCTTTCGATGAAATGGCGAAAAAGTGAGGTTCAGGCTTGGTCGGAGATTGCTACGGTTACACACGTACGCTTTTTCAGTTCTATCTCGCATAAATAAGCTTCTTGCTCAAATAAACAGGGGCATCTGACTTTTCGCTCATCTTGGCTTTTTGCGCGACTGTTAACAAGTTCTAAAACAGACAAAGCAAAAGTGATTTAATTAGCTCAGGATTATAGGTTGAGCGAAATATTTACAAAGTTCAAGGTTCCCTGAGTCGTCTTTTGTATTCAATTCCCCCTCCCCTCACCACCACTTCCTTCCTCTAAATAAACAACGTAGATTATTTTATGAACCACCAGTAATAGAGCGTACTCACAAAACGTCTATTTGGCGTAAGAAAGCGTAAGAAAGGCCTTGTTCAAATGTTCGAGCAATGAACTTGTTTTCTTACTGTGCGTGACACAGCTAGCACGAAACAGAATATTGACATTTTTACGCAAGGGCCATGCAGAATTTAGTGTATAAGAACAAATTGATGCCTCGTAAGTTGGTGCCCAACGGAAGCACTCTTTACCGAATTGCTTGTTTAAAAATAACAACTTTTCAACCATAAAAATGAAACAAAATAACACCACTTTTTTGGGGGCCACTAAATTTACTGATTTACTATGTTAGCGTTGATTGTGCAGCGGTATGCGTACATTACGCGACACTGTTAGCGCAAACACGACATCGCACTTTTTGCTATTTTCCCCAGCAATGTATCGACTCGCACTAAAATCTACCGCTTAGGTTGGATACTCGCATTAACAGTTTCCTAAACATCGTTCTCTTCTAACAAAAAAAAAGTGGGAAACACCGGTGATAGTTTGTGCTAACTGCGTAGCGTAGGGTACCTAAAAGTTTTTTTACAATGTTAAATACAATTCTGTGTCACAATAAAAAAAATGGTCTGCTTTTGCCTTAGTTTCTTTGAGACACCGCAAATACTTCGAAGTGGCGGTCCGTGCTATGGTACCGATACAAGCAACGTTGAACCATAACACGACACGCTAGACTCGTCAAAAAGGGTTTTAATATTGTCTTTTCGCTCCATAGCCGCACTCGATGAAGAATGTAAACAGCGAGTCTAGCTTACATTTCGTTGTGGGGTACGGACCGTATACGGTTATCTAAGTGGCTAAAAGCGACCCACTAAAACTTTCTAAAATTGACATCCACCCTTGATGCCCTCTCACCTCAGGTGCTTGTTGGGAATGTGTAAATATGAATTTCATACATTTTGCTGGCCATCATGTTCTGCGAGTTAGGCACACAACAGGGCATTTTAGTAAATCGTTTTCAAAGGCCCGCTGCCACTTCAGGCGCGCGCTTCAGAGAATGCATCGAAGTGGCAGCGCGAGCTCCCGCTAAATATAGCGTGGCCTGAAAACATAGTCTGCTAAAGTTCTTCAATAATTTGTGCTCGCTCCTAGAAAACAGAGACCTTCTAGAAGATGCCCGCGCCTGGTACATCGTTTTCTTTTCCATCGATCCCAATTTGAGCCAGGTTTGAGCGTGATAAGCCGTTTTTTCTTGAAGGTGGAATGTTTTGTGAAGATGTGAGTCATCCTTACATATTCAAGTCACCACTTCTCGCGCATGTGTTTTGAGCTCCTTGATCAACCGAAAATATCTATGAAACGCTCCTTCAATGGGTGCGGGGATGCATCGCAGCTCTCAAGTATGCGTTTACTTTGCCACGGGCTAAACTAAAGACCTTCGAAAGCGGCAATTCGGTGACTGCGCGGGCGCAGCCTTGCAGCTCCGTAAAACCGACACCCGAGGTGCTAGGCTTGGTGAGCGCCAAAAAATGGGGCAGATTACGCGATAGGAGCTGAAGCTACCTCTAACTCACGAGGTCGCTGCTGCCGCACCCATCGCCCGTCGCTCAGAATGGGGATTTTCTCGGCTTATCCTCTCAGAAGAAGCCGGCGCAAAAGGGGACCTTTCCCCTCTCCTCGGCGTGCTACAATACAAGAAAGAAAGAGGGCGAGGAGGACTTTCCGCCAGGCGGAAGAATATTTCTGCTGGTCCTCCTTTTTAAGACGTATCCTCGACTGTTCCTTTTTCTTCTACTTTGAAACTTCCTCTTCTCCTGCCTCAGTCTCAGGCTAACATCAGAATGGCTGCAATATCCTCTTTCAGTGGCCCAACGCTATTGAGTTAACTTGTAGACTTACACTAACTCCCTGGCGCCCTCACTGTGTTTTCGTTAGACACACTCACATCAATTCTGATTTTGGATTGAAAAGAGGGAGCCCCGAGGGGCTTGCCAAAAATTGCCATGGCCGTCGGTATTGCACGACGTCCCGGCGGGGTATTGGGAAAAGTTTTCAACTAGCAATAGTCGCCCCTCAGTTGCCTGGTTGAAAAATTTTATTTTCACCAACATAAGTCATATAATTTACAAACACTTCCACATCACTCACATCACTTCGGTCTTTGTCCACACAGAGATACAGGTAAACTCTTAGCTAATTGGCGTACCACCTACCTCTATTACAACCTTAAAAAAGGATTGGATGGGGTTAGTTTCTACCCATCCTCAAAACCTAAAATTTTATACAAAGTCTAAGGGTGGGAACTTGAGCGCCACATGGCCGCTCATCACGTCTACAAATTGGCATGACCATCTTCTTAAAAACATCTCCTCTCCCAAAGTGAACAGCTCTTGCTCCAGATGGCTTCTTAATTCGGCTCGTAATCTACCCAAAATCGGCCACAAGGCTCGTTGTCTTCGTCCTACCACCACCGCCTGGTTCCTATTTTTCCACAAGGCATAATCCCCTGCAGCCACCAACAGTTGTGCAAAGTTCCCTGTCGGGCATGAACCCCGCTCCCGATGCCACAAAATTTTCAACCCTCGAAACCCGCAATCTATCGCCCTCCAAAAGGTGCGCGTCACGACACATTCGGTAAATGCGTGCTGACAATTCTCTATGTGCTCACAATTAGGGCACAACGCATTCACATCCTTCCCCCACCTTCGGACTTTATCCTTTGTCGGGAGCACCTCCCACCCTTTCCTCCACTGGAATTCCTGTACGTGGCTCGGTATCCTCGGTGCTGTCATACTATTCCAGGGAAACCCTTCCATCCCTCTGCGTCTATGAGGTGGAACTCGCGCAATCGCCAACTCCTCCATCACCCGTACCGCCGGGCTTGCCCAGACGTCGAGTTCGGGATCGTGGAACTTCAACTGTCTCCACAAGGCTAACATTCTTTTAAAAAACAGGGGAGGCCGCTCGGCCGACGGGAGCAAGTTCCCAGACACCCTTGGCACTATCTCGCGTCTCTGTGGCCCCAGAAAATACAGCGCCAAAGGACGCGCCGGATTCTCCTCCTCCTCCACAATCGCCAGCAAAGTTTTTAAACCTAACACCCCCGCAAGGGTGCTGACGCAGGGGAACCCCCACCCTCCCTTGGTTCTGGCCACACTTATAACCGGCTCGGCTACCTTCACTTGTTTGTCGCTCCAAAAAAAGGAGTTCAGCTGGCGTTGCACTCGCACTACAAAGTCTGCCGGTGGAACGCCCACCCTGGCCGCGTACCACAGCCGTCCACACAGTATTGTCTGCGCTACATATCGTTTCTCCGCTAGTGGCAAATTATAAGATTTTGCCATTTCTATTTTTTTTTCCATTTCAGTTTCTATGTTATTCCATGTTATACACGACAGTCCAGTGGAATTATATGTGATACCTAAAATTTTTACATGAGGCCCCCAAGCGACCTGCGGGAGCGGCCCATAAACCCCTCCCAAACGCAGTGCTTTACTCTTACTATGATTAAGGCGAGCCCCCGACACTAGCGCATACTCTTCAAAAAGCTTAAACACTCTATGTACACTATCTACGTCTTCGAGGTACAACGTTATATCGTCTGCGTACGCCAGCGCAACTGCCCTCTCCGATCCCGGCATCGGCAGGCCCCGCACCCATGGGTCCTTCGTAATCTTTACCAGAAAGGGGTCCAACGACAAAATGAACAGCACTGGGGACAGCGGACACCCTTGTCTCACCCCCCGAGTTACTGGAAAAGAACTAACTATGCGGCCATTGATCATCAACTCGCTAGTCATCCCCCCGTACAATTTCCGCAGTGCCATTATAATTTCTTGCGGTACACCGAAGGCTTCAAGAACCGCAAACAGATATGCATGTTCAATCCTATCAAAAGCTTTCGACTGGTCTAACGAGACCAGCATCCCCTTCGCCGATCTTATTCTTGTATATTCTATCAAGTCCCTCGTAAGAGCCGCAGCGGCGAAAATACTTCGGCCCGGCACCGAGCTCACCTGCCATGGACAAACTACCTCAGGCAACACCCTTTGCAGCCTCGCGCAAACAATTCGCGCCACGAGTTTATAATCTGTATTTAACAATGTTACGGGTCTCCACGAATTGGGGTCCCCGCGGTCCCCGCCTTCCTTTGGCAGCAAGACCATACGTCCTTGCCCAAACGATGTGGGCACCTCCTCCCCCAACACAGCCTTTCGGACCATCTGTACCAGGTGCCCCTGTAGGAGACTCCAGTACGTCTTGTAGAATTCCACTGTTAGCCCATCTGGCCCCGGCGACACGCCGGTCTTCATATGTTTCAAGGCCTTAAATACTTCCTCCGCCGTCGGCGGGTTGACTAAGGTCCGTGTCAATTCTGGGGGTATCGTTGGGAGGTCGGGCAGGAATCTCACAAAATCCTGCGAACCAATAGGCGTCCCTTCAGATCGTGCCAAGGCCGCGAAGTGTGCTCCAAAACGACTCAGCATAGCTGGGTCGTCTGTGCCTACTACATCCCCATCTCCCACCTCTGGGGGCTGTCTGTCCCTTACTAACGTTTGCTCCGCCATGCGGAGCACTTCCGGGTGTGCCTGTGGTCCTGTCCTATTCCAGGTTGCGGTTCCCGCCGCCGAGCTCATGCGCAGCAGCCTCTCGTACCGCCGTTGCAATTCTGTTAGGTACTCCTTCATTAGAGGAGTAAGTGGCCCCCCTCTCAATACTATCCTTACCCTGCATACCACGTCCCACAACCGTGCATTCTGCTGTTTTCTCCAAGCCCTCGCTGCGCCCTCGCAGTCTTCCTTCCATTTAACTTTTAATTCGTCCCACGACTTTGCATCCGGCGTTGCTGCCTTTAACCTTTCCGTTAAACGCTCTGCGAGAGCCTCCCGCGTAACCGGATCTAACAAAATGCGGTTATCTAAACGCCACGCTTGTCCTGCCAAACTGTCCCTGTCGTCTCCTTTAATGTCTATGTAAACCGGTCTATGGTCAGAAATGTACACCGGTGTATTATGCATATCCAGTGCGGAGCATCCCTGGACCGCGTTCACCAGCACCTTTGCTACGTACACCCTGTCAAGACGGGTGGCTGTTTTTCCTACCTGCCGCGTATGCTGGAACTCGTCACCATGAAGGTGCGTCCACGCGTCCACAAGGTTAAAATGCTGTACTATCCGCCGCAGTTCTCGCCCGGTCCAATTTTCTCGCCCCTGCCCGGGTCCCCTAATATCTCTATTCGTATCCAAAAAGCAATTAAAATCCCCAAGCAAAATTGTAGGAGATGGATTCAGCAAAAAACAGTCTACCCCTCGAAAAAAATCATTACATAAGGAAGGCGTTGCGGGTGCATATACGTTCACCACTCTATATTTCTTTTTACCCCAATTAAAGTCAAAACTAATAACTCTTCCTTGCGTATCGTACATGCGAAAGGAATGATTAATCAGTGCTCTATTGAAAATAACCACCCCTACCCCTCCTCCGCAGCGCCCATGTGAAAACGAAAAATAACATTCCACACAAAACCTCGCCCGAAACTCTTCCCTTTCTTTTGGGCTTGCAAAGTTTGTTTCTTGCAAAAACAACAGATCACACCGAGCCGCTCGCGCAAACTGTATAACTTCCGTTTGTTTACGAACCGACTTAAAACCTTGTACATTAAATGTGAGCAGCCTAAGCAGCATACCTATTATAAAGGACTTAACATTGTCACACTCACAGGATATGTAGCCGTTGCACGCCGTACTACAGTTCGTAGAGTCCCACACGTCACGTCCCGCTGGTACCAGTGTCTCTGCTTCGTTGTCTGTCCGGGGTCCCGTAGTGGGCAGCAGCCACCGCACCTGCCGCCGTCGCACCGACGCCCCCAGGCCCGCGACGCACCTCCCTCCACGAGGCCCCGGAGCCCCACTCGGTCGTCGTCCTTCCAGTTACACACAATCCAACCGGTCAATTCTCCGTCGGGCACCCCGCCGTCGCCGCACTGCTGTGACGTGTTGGCCGCCCCCCTCAGGCGCGGGCCACATCCCTCCTCCTTGGCACCCGCCACCTCCGTAAACGTGACGTGCCTGAAGCACGCACCCCGCGTGTAACATTCTTCCATGCACTGCCTTTTGAGTGTCCTAACCCCGGGGAGTATCTTTCTCCCAACTATTGTCCTTTCCTCCCTATTTCCATATGCCAGGGTCCTCCTTGGGGCGTCCATCACCATGCCGGCTCCCTTGGAAACTCGCAGTCTAGGGTCTGCCCATTCCCGACCCCTTCCATATGGGGGCCTCCTTTCCCTTTTTTTTTTCGGGGTATCCTGAGTATATTTAAGTCCCATCGCATGCGGAAAGTTATGAGAAGAAAACATTTCGTTCCACTCACAGAGTCGGCGTTCCCCGGGCGTCCTCGGAGACTCTTGTGTGCGAGGCGTCGAACTCCCTGTCCGCTCGTCCGTGGCTGCATCTGGGCCGACGAATTCCCTCCCGGCGACAAAAGCCAAGCAGCAAGTCGGGGATGTGTGCTGGCAGGAACAAACTGCGACTATCTTCTCTTGTAGACCCATCGGGGCGGGGGAAACTACGTTGCCGACGGTAACCTGACTTCCAACTTCTGTCAACTTGAGCTTGTTATACTCCTTGAAGAGTGCTGTGCTTGGTAGCGCGTATCTCGATAACTGTGGTGTCGACCGAGCGCGAGCTTGACGCCCGTCGTCACCCGCCGGTCTTTCCAGCTCCGTCGTAAAGAAAAAACAAGAAAGACCCACCCCTTTACTTGTCTCTGTCGTACGGCGTTCCTTTGGCTTCCTTACGGCTCTTTTTCAACCCCAGCCTCTGACGGCACGAAGAGGCCTCGCTGCGCTTGGCGTTCTCTTCCTTCGCCTTCGCTCTCTTGTCGTCCACGGGGGTGTAGCCACACGTGTTTCTCTTGTCTTCAGCGGGTTCCTCCATCTTCTCTACGTTGTCTTCCTCTGTCTCGTCACTTCTCACGTCGACCACAAGATCTTCTGATTCCGACCCAAACAAGTCATCCACTGTCGTGCTCCACTTCGGGTACAACTCACCCTTCGCCGCGGCATGGTCTGGGGCATTTTCCTCCCATGGGGTCTTTGAGGCTTCGCCTCCCG